AATACTTAGATAAAACGAATCACAGTTCAGGAGTGGGGGCGAAAACGTTATTTCTACGTATAAAATGTACATAGAAGTGACGTCACGTGACATTTTAAATCAATATATCGTCGAAAGTATTTGTTTTTGTAAGAAAATAAAAAATACGTGTCTAATGATTTAAAATAATCTACCAGACGGACATTAAAATAAAAATTAGGCATCTAGGTTATTAGGTCGCATCGCAGTTTTAGAATATACATTAACAGTCTACATGATATTAGTGCCCACTATTAAGCATCATACATTTAAGACATTTCTTCGTTCACATAAAAACTCCATATATTCACATGAAAAGGTGGAACTTGGCAAAAACAGAACGATATGTATAGATACACACAACTCAAATCAAGCTAAGACCAACCAGTATAAACTGAAATGAATGAAATGAAATGAAATGAAATGAAATGAAATGAAATGAAATGAATTGAAATGAAATTATATAGTAAACATAGGTTATATAAAGTTGTTTGAAAGATTGACATACAATGCAATACAGCGAGTCCGTCTATGTTTTGCCTTAAAGCATACAAATTCATATGAGTTTTAGTAAATAGATTAATTTAAATTAGAAAACAGAAATACATTAATAGTCATTTAAGTATCTACACAGGAATAAGACATTTATTATGGGGGTTAAACCACTGAGCCATCGTCATCAGTCATATCATAAGCTTTAATCCCTAATGCGAAATGTCATAATTTAATTAAGGAATATTAATATGGGATGTCATGATAAGCACAAAATTACATAGAATCCAATGTCAGTATGTATCAAAATTTAAGTGGTCAAATTAAAAGGAAAATTAAGAGTATAGAATGTCATATGTACGTTCGACATAGCCAAATCTATGGTTAATCTGATTAGAATCACCCAAGATAGTCAGGGTTGGTTACATTTTTTGAAAAAACCAAAAATTTACATATATTGCAAATCGGATATAGCAGGTCTAGCATCTTTCATCTAAATAGTCATTAATTTTATAATAGCACTTAGTTACCAAAAATTCATGTAGTCGTTTTTTAAATATATTAATATTGTCAATTTCTATTATGTCTTTAGGTAACTTATTAAAGATTTTGGGTGCCATACCTAAAATGTTTTTGTTGAAGATGGCTTTCTTATGTTGTGTAGCGCAGATCCTATATTTATGACGTTTACTTTTTGGGTGGGTGTACAAGTGGATGTTAGTTTTTACGTAGCTGGCAACCTCAAATATGTAAAGGGAGGGCAGAGTTAATAGTTTTAATTCTTTAAAATATGGTTTGCAGCTGACTGTGCTTTGTATACCACATATTGCCCTGATGCATTTCTTCTGTGATTTGAACGCCATTTCTCTATCCGGCGAATTTCCCCAGAACAGAAGCCCGTATCGCAATGTTGACGAAACATAGCCGTGGTACGCCGTGATTAATGTTTCCTGATTTGCCACTTTTTTTAAGTTGTATAGCGCGAAGGAGGATTGGCTAAGTTTTTTGCAAACACTATCAATGTGGGATTTCCAATTTAGGTTCCTATCGATCCAGATACCCAAGAATTTAGCATGGTCAGTCTCTTCAATATTTTTCCCGTCATATCCTACGTGAATCCTGTTACCACTAATTCTTTGTGCAAATGATATGTAAGTTGTTTTCTCTAGATTAATTTTCAATTTATTTGCAGTTAGCCAGGTTATGATGTCGTTTAAGTTATCATTAATTTCTTTTTCAAAGGTTTCGTCATTATTATTTTTAAACAGTATAGTGCTATCGTCCGCGAATAAGATCATGGGATTGGTGATTATTCTAGGCATGTCATTTATGTAAATTATAAATAGTAGTGGTGCGAGGACACTACCCTGTGGCACCCCGCATAAACATTTCCGATATTTAGAAGTGTGCGTTATTTCAGTTTTTGTGTAGGGACAGATTTTTTTAATACATGTGTATTGTTGCCTGTTTGTAAGATAGGACTTAATAAGCTCATGAGTGTTGCCTCTAATGCCATATTTTTCTAACTTCATCAGTAGGATTTCATGACTAACATGATCGAAGGCCTTAGTCATATCCATAAGCAATGCAACCATGGGAATTTTCTTGTCCATGTTCGTAAGGGCGCACTCCACTAGCTCATAGATAGCTGAATTTATGCTTTTATTTTTTCTGAAACCATATTGTTCTCTTATTATAAGTTTGTTAGCTTCTAGAAAGTAATATATGTTTTTTTGAATTATTTTTTCAAATATTTTAGAGAATACTGGGATAAGTGCTATTGGTCTATAATTATTAGGGTCGAGTTTGTCACCTTTCTTAAATATTGGTATAATTACTGAGGTTTTCAGTTTTTCTGGGAATATGCCTTTCTCGATGCAAGTATTGATGATGTGACTGAGTACCGGTGCAATAATAGCAGCGGTAGCTTTAATTACCTTGGTGGATATATCATCATATCCAACACTATTGGTATTTTTCAATGAATTTATTGTTTTTATAATGTCATCAGGTATTGTGGGTATCATGAATATAGAATTAGAATTCGTGTCAAATGTCAATATATTTTTATAGTTAATGTCATTGTGAGAATCATTTTGATTCTGAAAATGTTGGTTAAACGATTCTGATATTTGTCCTGGATTAGTAATAACTTTATTGTCAATTTTTATCTGGTTAATTCCTACATTTGGATTATTTTCCTTCTGTTTATTAATAATGTTCCACGTAGCCTTACTCTTGTTTTCGGAAAGATTTATAAAGTGATTATTTTGTACTTTTTGTGTTTGTTTAATTATCAGCTTCAATCTCTTTGTATATAGTTTTAGTTTAGTTTTGTTGTTTAAGCTAGGTGATTTTCGATATTCCCACAGCATGTCTCTTTTTCGCTTAGAGCATTTTTTGATTCCCGCTGTTATCCACTTTGGTTTTTTTGTTACTGAGATCCTTATTTTATTGATCGGAAAGCACAAATTATAAAATAGTTTATATATGTCGTAGAACTCATTAAATGCATCATTAGGTTCGTGGCTCATAAATGCTTCGCAAAAAGTTATATTTTGAATGCATTCGTAGAATTTTTTCATATTTTCGTCACTAAAGTCGCGTTTATATATAAACCAGTGTGATAGTACGCATGTTTTTTTGACCCTACACGTTAAGAGTTGAGCTGTGTGGTCAGATATAGCTAATTCCTTGATCTCACATCTGCTCCCCCTCACATTATGGATAATGTTGTCGATGCAGGTTCCGCTACATAGGCGTGTCGGTGATCGAGTGCCCAGAATGAGGTTATAGCTTCGCAATACATTTAGGAAGGTGCTAGAGGTTCTATTTGTTCTAGAAATATCAATATTAAAGTCTCCGCAGAGTACTATCCTATTATTCCGCTTATGCAAAATTTCGTTTAACATTGTATCAAGATTAATTAAAAACGTATCAAACTTATTTTTGTTGTTGCTTGGAGGTCTATAAATGCATATAACTGTGATCAAGTGGGAAATAAGTTTTATCGCACAGCATTCTATTACATGGGGTATAGTCCATTTTTTTAAGTTGACTACCTCAAAATTTTGTGAGTTTTTGACTAAAATGCACGAGCCTCCGTTTCTATCGTTTCTGTCGTAGGAAGTTGCCAGTGTGTAATTGGGGATGTGTAAGTGTTGATGGTCACCTGTCTTCATGTTGTGCTCTGTAATACATATGACATCAATTGACTTACCCTCTTCCGACAGTTCATTTAGATGTACACCCAGTAGATCCGACTTACTTATTAGGCCGTTAACATTTTGATGCATTATAAATATGTGGTTATACACGAAAAAAGTCAGTTTTGTTAGTATTGTTAAAATTGTTGTCTTCAGATCTATTAATTATTATTGTTTCTTCCTGGTCAAATTGGTCTAGATCAATAATTATGTTGTCTAAAATTCGATCGTGTATGCATTTCATCCCGTAGTTAGTAACTTTACCTGTTCTGTAAGAGAACATGTCAAGCGATAGGTCACGATTACTATCGAAGAAGTACGCATATTTATTGTTCAAAATATCTAGGTGCAGTAGATTATTAAACATCTCTACTTTAAAGTTATAAATTGGAGCACCAGTAATATAGGTAGCTGCACAGATAATTATATTTGTGTGGTTTACTTTTTGTAAGATTGCTCTTATTTCATTAATCATTTGTATATAGGATTTTTCCCCTTTTATGTCATTTTCTCCGATATGAAGAATACAGTAGTCCCTTAAGTTGAAATCTTTAATTTTGAGTTTCATATCACGTATCAGTTCAATCGCATTACTATTGGTCTTTATGTAATGGCAGTAGTGTGAGTTATTTGAGTATACCTCTTGAATTGTGGATAGGAATCTTCTTTTTGTATTGCTGCTTAGGATACATATTTTATTTTTTCGCCTAGACTGCGTGATTTCTGTTATTGTTTCTTTATTAATTATTATGTACAGTGCTTTTAGTTTGGGGCCGAATAGTGTGTTCTTCAATTTTGCTGGGAGTTGTTTGTGTACTCTTATTGTGCGTAGCGGTTGTAGTCAGATCTATTGTTTGGCTTTCATTGTTGAGTACTTTTGTTTTTTTCTGAGGAGTATCTTTAATTTTTGGCGCAATCGGTGATAATGTTTTGCTTTGATGCAAGGAGTTTTTTTTGCGAGTTGATATTGGTGGCGTATTCTTCCTATTGGGCGTGAGGCATATTTTTTTACAAGTCTCAATATTTTTTAAGGATTTTTGTAGATCCGTCTTTAATCGAAAGTTTTCGTTATTTAAGTTGTCAATTTCTTGGTGAGCACTCATTAGCTGCATATTTAGTGTTTTTATTTGTTCATTCAGTTCATTGATTCTGTCATTGTCACCTTGATTATGTAGGCTGTCGGGTATACTTAACATTGTAGTGTCAAATAATGTTTCTTCGTCGTCATTTGTTATATCAGTCAAGTTATTTAGAGATCCAGTCTTTTGTAATTTCCGATGTGTTATGTTGTTATGTGGATCCATGCTTATTGTGAATCTCACAGCGCCCTCTTTTAGCACTGGTATGTAACTGTTGTATTTGTGAGAATTATTCGTAGTTTCTTTTATTGACTACTATGTACTTGGTAGCAGTAGAAACTTTTGCTTATTTTATTTATTTCTGTCGATCAATTTACAAACATTCACAAAAAGAGAGTAATGAATTTAGTGGGTTCCGAACTCGAGATCCCTTGCACGGAAAGCGGCCGATGTCGTAGACTTGCTAAGCGAGCATTAATATAAGGTCTGAAATAGCGACTTGTTTTCTTAATACAAATATGATAAACATTTATTTATTGAAGGGTATTTAGATAGTTCATTGAGTATTTTAATTATCACTTTTAATTTGTTTCAGTTTATCAGCTGTTTTAGCGTATAAAAAGTTATTAGTTATTTATCTCAGTTGCACACACTTGTTGTCAGTCCTTTATTACGTTCCGTTTGATATTTGTTTGCTGTTTTGGAGTAAAACAATTATTTGTTGCATTAACAAGGTGCAGTGGCCAAGGTAACGGAAATTTGGATTTTAAGCTGTTGTTCAGTTGTATTTCGGTTTGATAACACTTTCACTATCGTCTTACACTGTTGTTTTTTTATTTAGCACTGTATATAATTTTAAACTGACCGTTGAAAGTGCAGAAAGATCATACAAATAGAGGTCATGATAAAATAGCTCGATGTATACATAGTCCCCATCTGATCACACGTTCGGAATCGTTCAGGAACGGATAGTAATTAGTGACCAATGAAAAACATTCGCGAGTCACCTATCATTCCGGCAATCGGGGGGATTATTCCGATCTCTTTACGTCATACGATCACGATACGATTTTATTATCCGATCGTCAACTGTCTAGACGTGAAATCTCAAGTAACAGATGTAAATATTGTACTATTGTATTAGACTGCCTCGTTGGCCGAGTGGTCGCAATTGCTATTGCCGGGGAGGGGTTCGATTCCCGGGTCGGGCAAAGTATTAATGAGTTTTTTTAAATATTCTCAGTAGTAGCACGGAGTCTGGAAAAGTGCTCGGTATATAGCAATTGGCGCACCCCCTATTACATGGGACATAAATAGTGAAAAGTGGGTGTTACATTGTGCAGTAGTATAATGTGCACCTCTGCTAGCAAGTACAGTACAAGTACAGTACAAGTACAGTACAAGTACAGTACAAGTACAGTACAAGTACAGTACAAGTACAGTACAAGTACAGTACAAGTACAGTACAAGTACAGTACAAGTACAGTACAAGTACAGTACAAGTACAAGTACAGTACAAGTACAGTACAAGTACAGTACAAGTACAGTACAAGTACAGTACAAGTACAGTACAAGTACAGTACAAGTACAGTACAAGTACAGTACAAGTACAGTACAAGTACAGTACAAGTACAGTACAAGTACAGTACAAGTACAGTACAAGTACAGTACAAGTACAGTACAAGTACAGTACAAGTACAGTACAAGTACAGTACAAGTACAGTACAAGTACAGTACAAGTACAGTACAAGTACAGTACAAGTACAGTACAAGTACAGTACAAGTACAGTACAAGTACAGTACAAGTACAGTACAAGTACAGTACAAGTACAGTACAAGTACAGTACAAGTACAGTACAAGTACAGTACAAGTACAGTACAAGTACAGTACAAGTACAGTACAAGTACAGTACAAGTACAGTACAAGTACAGTACAAGTACAGTACAAGTACAGTACAAGTACAGTACAGAGGAACAACTGAGGAGAACTGTATTTAGCTAAGTGCTGTTTTTCGACTGGACAATATTAATATTATGTTGTAATATAAGTAACTTTTATTTCTCTGTACTTTACCTTACCTTGTAAAATTTTATCTTTTTATATTGTTTTGTTTCTTGATTTAACTATTTTCGACTTTTTATAGTTTTTATATTCAAAATTAGAGTTCATTTTGTTTGCATAGTCGTGATCTCCTATAATTGGAGAAACACAAGACATCTGTTTTTTCCATTAACGTATGTTACGTGTATTCTCTGTTGGAGATCCTTTTTGCTATGGGCTACTACTGAGAATATTTAAATAGTAATACTTTGCCCGACCCAGGAATCGAACCCGAGACCCCTTGCCCGGCAGTCGCACTTGCGACTACTCGGCCAATGAAGCAGTCAATTTACATACGTAAGATTGAGAAAAGCTCTAATAGTTTCACATCTCATGAATAAGAGTCCCGTTCTGACTTGAAAGTAGTTGGAGATTTCCTACTTGCAATGGAAATAGGAAATCTCATAAAATGTAGAAAATGCATAAAATGTAATTTTCAGTTAAGTCCTCGATGATGGACAATTTTTATTTATTTATTTACACTTCTTGCAATTGTATACAATGGCGGACTTTATCCACAATACGAAGATTTTTGTCCTTTACATGTGTCCAATAAGAAACAAAAGTGCATCAACTTTCTTCAATAGTTCACGCACATGCATCACAATTCCTCGGCTGATTGAATTCCTCCGCACTCTCGAGGCACGCTTCCTCAGGAAATTGGAACGTCTCCGTCACTCCGCACTCCCAAATCAAATGCACGATTTGTGCTCACAATTCAACATTGCATAGAATTTATACTCCCGAACATTAAAGTATGGATTTTATAAAACAGTAATCTGGGGTACAGTTAACACCACCATTTCCGAGTGGCAATTTTCCATCGTCAATGGGTCAAAGTCAAAGTCAAAGCATTTATTTCAATTAAACCATAGTTAGGTACTTTTGAAACGTCAACAAATACAAAATAAATAATAGTCTGTCAGTCAGTCCGTCAGTGAAACTAGGTGAAGCTAGATGCTCATTCCAAAAAGTAGATTCGAATGGAGAAGAACGAGCAAGAAACTCCATTCGTTACTCTTTTTAAAAAAGTATGTTCTACAATGTCTCTGATACATATTTCAATACTGTACGCATATGTAAGAACAATGCAAAGACACACTTGACGCATTATACTAATAACTTACTAAAATTAAAATCTTAAAGTCTATATGGCGCTAACGTTTGGATAAGTTACTTGCAAACTATTACCGATAAGCCCCAAAGATCCTCCGTTGATTTGGTCTTGATTTCTTTAAAAACTTATAATTTCTAGAGGATTCGTATATCGAAACCTAAAGTCGTATTGACATGATTCTATGTTGTTCTTAAGCAAAGTTACAGAGAGGTTTGCTGATGACTTTAAATGGTTAAATGGGTAGCGGTTCAGGTGACTTGAAGCCCCTGGTTTTGTACCCTTGTGCACCCTTCAACGGCAAAGTCACACAATATTAACTATAATAATAACGAAATCGCAATATGGAGGTAGGCAGAGCCCATACTACGGCAACGCCAATTGGGATGATGTTAGGGTATGAAAATTAAAAATCTATTTAGTCCGTTAGTTAGATAATGAAAAATATTAGACACGTATTTTTTATTTTGTATAAAACGATTCAAAGTTTAGAAGTGGGGGCTAAAACGTCATTTCTACGTATAAAATGTACATAGAAGTGACGTCACGCGACATTTCAAATCAATATATCGTCGAAAGTATTCGTTTCTGTAAGAAAATAAAAAATACGTGTCTAGTAATTTAAAATAATCGGACGGACATTAAAATAAAAAATTGTCGTCTACCCCATTGCTACGATTCTTAATTACCTCTTTCGCTTCATCAACAGTCATCAGATTTTTCATACATGCTCGTTGGTTAAGGGATTTTTTAATTTGGTCCTTCTTCATAATATCGTCAATCTGGTCGATATATATTTTGTCCATCTAGTCTAGTCTAGGGCGTCAAATAGTACTTAGTCTAACAATAAACTCGATAACAAGATAAATAAATAAACACAAAAAAGAAATCGTAAACTATAAAAGGTATTAACGAAATCTTTGTAAGATTGCCTATTAGTTAGTGAGGAACGTAGTCCGCGGCCGTGGACATATTATTTGTTCCCTAATCCATCACTAATCAACGCGACTCATTACAGAAATGAGCGGCAAAATCCCGTAATTACAAGGTTTTCCCACATTCATCGCTCGCAAGGAAAAAGGTTTTTATGTAATTTGTTGGAGTTAGCGACGGATTATATGTAATTCGGACAGTTATTAGTATTAATTGCGTGTTTTGGATTTGTTTTTTGGGTTATAATTTGATCGTATGGCCGTGTGGTGACGTAGTAGGAATATATTTCTCACTATTCTTACTCTACCAGCTACCTGCTGGTACCAGCTGGTACAGCTACCAGAGGAGGTAAGGTCCTACTTACTAGAGGATTACACATTTGACAGACACTGGGCAGTAGTACTCTCTGGATTCGATCTTTAACGTCTTAAGTGTCGCGGAGAATCTAACGGGTAACCGGGGCTCCGGCTCGACGTGCAGGAGAAGGAACGGGGTGGTTTTTAGTGAGTAAGAGTCTGACACTCCCTCCCGCCTCACCCAGGCGGGAGCAGTCATTCGATGATTTTCCCCCCTTAAAAAAAACGTCTTAAGTAGGGGCAGATCTACAATTTAAATAATGTAGGAACGATGGATAAAAACAGATTTACAAAAGATATATGAATGGGACCGTCCATCGGTAGAAGGCGCCCTAGACGAGCATATATCGACTAAATTGACGATATATTAAGAAGAGTCGATTACCGACAAGCATGCTTGGAAATTGGAGAGGCGTATGCCCAGCAGTGGACGAACGCGGGCTGATGATAATGAAGATGTTTATGCATGAAAATATTGATGACTAGAAAGGGATTAAATGTAAAGTACTTCCTTACTTATATTATAAATCGGAAAGTGAGTTTGTTTGTTTGTTCTGCTTTCACGCCGTAACTACTAAACCGATTGCTTTGAAATTTTGCAAACGTAAAGTTAGAAGTTCAGATTAAATAATAGGGTACTTTTTATCCCGGAAAAATTTGATATTCCCGAGGGAAAACAAAAGTATTGGTATAGATGGCGCTGTGTATATCGTTATATGTCACATAGGCTACTTTTTATACTTTTGTGACGCGAGCGAAGCCGCGGGTAAAAGCTAGTAACTAATAAAAGGTTGAGGGGGAAAATCATCCAATGACTTCTCCCACCCGGGTGAGGCGAGAGCGAGTGTCAGACTCGTACTGACTAAAAACCACTCCGTTCCTACTCCTGCACTTCGAACCAGAGCCCCGGCAACCCTTTAAGCCCTCCGCGGCTCAACTAATGAAAGGTTGGAGAGTAGAATACATTAACAAAATGTACGCATAGATGTTTACAACAAACACTACTACACAAACCCAACAGTAATTGATTTACAAATCAAAATCCAATATCAATAATGAATCCTTCGAAATCCAGTTAGTGAGATGGCAACATGGCAATATTATTCAAAAGATTATCACCTCGCTCCAGCATGCGTACACAAACACTGAGCCTTGTTTGCTGAGCAAACTGATGTCGGGAATTAATATTACCTGTGTGACCTATATACATCTGCCCGTCTTATGCTGCCCTGGTACTTTGATATTGGGAGTTGGGACTGTATGGAGTTTCTAGTGTGTTTTTAGATTATTAAATCTTTATTAATCATAGTATTCTATATACACACACACGTAACATCACGCCTTTTATCCTCAAAAGGGTTGCCTACCCCTTTGAGGTGAGGAGCACACTTAATACCACTGTACAATGTAACACCCACTTTTCACTATTTTTATTTTTAGTCCCATGTAATAGGGGGTGAGCCTATTGCCATATACCGGGCACAATTTCAGACTCGGTGCTTCTATTGAGATTTTTTTTAAAACCCAGCCATACGTTGCCAGACCCGGAAATCGAACCCGACACCCCTTGCTCGGCAGTCGCACTTGCTACCACTCGGCCAACGAGGTAGTCTATACGAGGTAGTCTATACGTGTGTATAAAAGAAATTCTTAAGTGGTTTTAGTTATCTTTCTACATATTTATTCTATTTGTGCAATTTTATGTCGCCCTCGTAATATCGACTTTGATATTGGGATTTCAATAGTGTAGTGTTAGAAATGATAAGATCTAGATTAATATGATTTATTAAAATTAATGCTAATTACGTCATTCAAGTCACTGGTATCATGTATCTAGAATCATTCGTTCCTCGGTTAAGCATTGCCACACAACGTGGCAATGCTGCCAGCCTTCTGAGTACTTTCCCTATAGACGTCGATGCGGACGAATTTTTTTGATGCTCTCTATAAATAGTAATTTTTAGTTTTCTTTTATTTAATTGTCTCCATTAGTTTTATTGTCTCTTTAGTACATATTTTTTCTTTTCCTTATATTGTATATACCTTACTGTAACAGATCAGGGCTGGATGTTTCCACAATGAATTAAAAAAAACGAGAAAATTGGCGGGAACTCGGAGCGTCTTTGAACACGCTCATTCACTCAACGTTTCGACGGCGACTGTTGGCGCTAGCGCGGGGCCAGCTCGAGCGAGGCGTGGGCGGGACTTCGAATTTTGAATTTTAGCGCGAACACGAATTCACTACGTTACCACCATTTTTCTTATCGAGCTACCAAGGAGGTTTTTAACATAAGAGTTGCCTACATAAACTAATAAAGTAATTTCAGTCACTCGTTCTGCCAGCAACAAATTGGATATTAACATTAACAGAAACTTAAACGCAATTTGCTGATAGATATCTTACAATTGGTTCAGTAGTTTCAGAACCTATACAGGTAACTGGCACAAACTATATTTTCTCTGTATATTAATATGGGTAGTAGAGTATATACAA